AGATAAGTGTTGAACATTTTGTATTTTAATATTAATTAATAGCACACAAACCCATTTTATTAAGAAATTGTCATGCGTTGAACTAAATCTGTAAGTGTGCGAGCACTTCATAGGGCGAATACTCTTACTCTCAGATGTGAAATACGTGTGAGGGCGCTTGAGCACAATTAGGTGTATTCCAATTTAATTACAGCTACTTCTCAAGTTATATTAGCACGTGATTTTCTAATCGCGAGCTTCGTTACAACTTAATTTTCGGTATTGGAGCTTCCGATTGAACGACAGCGTTCCACCTGATTTACCTTTAGAAGTCACTATCATTAAATCAGACAAATAGCCAAGAGTATTGGTATTTTTTGAACTACACTTCACGGTTTTTGTATCGTGGCGCCCGAAGGCCCACCTTTACGAGGGAAAATTTCATGGCGTTTTGGGTCTTTCTAGATTGATTGAAGATATAACTCTTAAATAAAACTGAACATCAATGGTTTAAACGCAGTAGCTCACAAATGGAGCTCAGAAAAAATAGTTATCTTGATTTGATGGTTTACCATTGACTTGACATGTCGCGATCATGCGTCATCTAGCGGCACGTCTGAGAAAGACGCAAAATGCCATGAGATTTTCCATCGTGAAATTTCTATCGTGAAGACAGGCCTTCGCGCGCCATTTTACAATATCCGAAATGTACATAAACATTTGAGTGTAATAGGAACACTTTGCATATGCAAATGTGCTACATATTTGATTTGTTATCAGTGCCACAGTCTATTAACGAAGATACAACTAACAACTATTATTAATATACTACATTAGTACAATTTATAGGTTCGATAACCAGAACTTTGTAGACAGTAATTTCTAAAATCATTAAATACAGTTTCTTGAAGTTGATTGATATTATAGTTTTTGTTGATTATACATTTAGATAAACATTTAGAAAAAGAGGAAAAGAAATCCTCGAAACAGAGATGAAAGACTACAAATTAATAGAATACTTTGAAATGTTTAAACATTTTTTAAATAATGTTTGTTTTAATTGTTTTAAAAGTACTGTAAGAATTCTGAACCAAAACCTATAATACATAGAAACTTAATGACAGCCTGATAGACAATTGATATTAGTACGATTTATTACAACTAAACTCGATTCTTACTCCACCATCGCTCAACAAATACACTGACAGCTCAAGAAACTACGCGCAGATAGTAAAGTTACATTTACTGTCCAAAAGCAAAGCAAAATTGAAAACTACTCTGAAGACAAAAAATACAGGAAACTGACGTAAACTTAATATTCCCTCTTCCACCGTTCATCTCTTGCGGTAAAGCGAGGGCAATAGAGCAATTTTCTGCACTCGGGTGCTTCCGTCGGGGCCCCGGTTTACATCGAAAGCTTACTCAAAGACGCTTACTCAAAGGATGCGACGGGAATAGAAACTGCGTCTCGCGATTTAACATCACGTGCCCGGCCAGTGCACGCCATGAACGCAGACGCGAATGTAAACGGGATCCAGTTCCGCTGGTTTGCCACCGCAACTGTCTGATTAACATTTTCTACACACGAGTTTGATCTTTGACGTTCACTTATGACTCCACGATCGGGGTTTCCCGTCGATCAGAGCAAATACAGCTACAGTCTTCTTTCCCTACTGGGCCGCAAATATAACACCCATAGGGTCGGTTTCACCAACCAGGATCAAATTCGTAGTTGATCCGAGTTTCGTGATCCTGATCCGTGGCAGGTCAAGGCCGACCCTTGATCCCTGTGGCGTTTCACCAAAACGTTTGAGACATCGAATTAATTCGGATCCCATATTCGTGAGCAGTCGTTGAAAATGCGCGGTTGGCAACATATTTTGCAATGCATGTAGGGTATTTCTTCGGCCAAGCTGTAGAAACGCGAGTTTTTTTGATTTCAATTTCGTATCCGTCTGTGTGGTGTTCTTGTTCGGTGAATGGATTCACCTGACGTTGGAAAGATTGGCATAGGAACTACCCCAATTTCTCTCAGTTAGAAGAGAATTAGCTCCGAAAGCTTTAATGAGTAATACCAAAGAAAGATTTTAATGCTCTTTCTGACATTTCAAATTAATCGCTTCTTTTGCGCGGAATACTCGTGGTGTCTCTCCCCACAATAAATCTTCAATGGCTTCATGAATGAATAATGTGAATAATAATAATGATTTATTGAGTCACATTCGAAAACATACTCTATTATCACGACACAAATTACCCTAACAACAAAAATTGAACAGTATTATACACTAAAGGAAAAAGTATTCCGATAAAACTGTCCCACGTCAATTGGAATTATACAGATACCACAAAAATGCTTTTTTACTAATGCTACTTATAACTCACTAATGCTGAAGCCAAAACTATATTTAAATTTTTACCCTTCCCAATACCGGAACTTCTAACCTTCAATTGTGTTAACCCCTTTATTTTATTACCAATCTTACTATCTTAAAAACACGTCTGCGCAAACCAAATATTACGCGTAATCCTACTTCTCTAACGAACTACTGAATTATGTGCAAACTACAGGTGCTTTACTAAAAAAACAGCAGGAAAAACTGAATAGCTACGACGACCAAAGACCGAAGAAACTAAACTCCTGATCATGGCCGTGATCCACCGCCTCGGCGGTACGGATTCAAATGCGAGTCAAATTTGATCCGAGTTCAGAGAGCGTGTGAGTGCGTTCAAAGTGCGTGGAGAGAAAACGTTACAACGGGATCAAACCGAAAGTTGATCCGGATCACTCCGGATTCATCAATTCTTGATTCCTGTTGGTGAAACCGGCCCATTAGGGAAGTTCGAAGAATGTCTACAGTTTATTGGCCGGAAATTAAAAACAAACAAATAATGCTTACAATTCCGTCTGTGAGTCAGTAAGATGTTTCCTATATCAGGAGATATGCCCGAAATCAACGAAATGATAATACTTCAGCAGGATGGGCGATTTAATGTGCCAATCCGGAAAACGAAGATCAGTATTAATGAGCATTATACATTACTGAATTTATCAGGAACCAGGCACAAGTGGATTTACTTCTTAAGATTTTAAACACGCGCCTGAAATACCGTTCAGCATATCAATATTTTTCTGTATACGACTCGTCTTTCCCAAATAATCGGAGATGCTTACCCGCTGCGGAGAATTTTATCCATCATTATTGATCAAGTAGTTTAAAAAATGCCACGTCCGTATGTTTCGTTTCAAGCTAGTGTGTTTTGTGGATATTGAGAAAAACTATTTCGAGTACACATCATCCCAAAAAATTGAAAAGAATCGGGGCACGAAGGTTCCAATTAACAAACAAATACCAAAGCGATTGAAAAGCCTCTGTAGTAAATCTTTGGGTACTTGCAGTTTCTCTGCAGTGCCTATCGCTCAGAATAAAGCACTTTAACTGCAGCGAGAAAGAGAGAGAAAGACTAGAGAGAGAGAAAGAAAGAGAGAGAAAGAAAGAGAGAGGACAGGGGAAGAGAGAGACAGGGGAGAGAGAGAGACCAGGGGCAGAGAGAGAGAACAGGCGGGAGAGAGAGAGACGGTGCGAGAGAGAGAGACAGGTGGGAGAGAGAGACAGGGGAGAGCAGAGAACAGGGGAGAGAGAGGAGACAGGGCCGAGAGAGAGACAGGGGGAGAGAGAGACAGGGGGAGAGAGGAGAGACAGGGGGAGAGAGACAGGGGGGAGAGAGAGAGACGAGGGAGAGAAGAGAGGACAGGGAGAGAGAGAGAGAGGACAGAGAGAGATGAGAGAGGACAGGAGAGAGAGAGAGAAGAGACAGGGAGAGAGAGAGAGAACAGGGAGACCAGACAGCAGGAGAGAAAGACACAGAGGACTCAGAGAAGACAGAGAGAGAGACAGAGAGAGAGACAGAGAGAGAGACAGAGAGAGAGAGACAGAGAGAGAGAGAAAGTAGCAACCTCAGTGGAAAAGGATGAAGCGATTTAAAATTAATGTCATTTTAAGACATTACTCGATTGAAGACTTCTGGCTTAAATAAGCCAGAAGCGAGGCTCATAAGGTCGGCTCTTCTGCCTGACCAATTTGTTACTGTTCGTACCACTCCAGAAACTAATGGCGATGAAACAACACACTTTCTCGTTTTTGTATATTTTGCTATTTTAGAAAATTCGGAGTTCAACAAAATTTAGAGCTGTTCCATTTCTTTTTTAAAAGCTTACTTCATTAGAGAAACAAATAAAACATTTTGGATTCACTTTAGAGATTTTTTTTTAAAAAATGGCATTTTTCCAAACAAAAATTATGCGACTTTTCATATTTTCAAAAATTGTGAATGTTATTTAAAATTTTGATTTTTTGAAAAAGATTTCATTCAGAAACAATATATATAGTTTTACGACGTAGGATTTTTTCCTTTTTGCTTTTTTTGAAAATTCAGAGTGTTCAAAATTGGACACACGCCATTTCTTTAAGCGTAATTTGCCCTATCCGTTGGAGAAATAATTGAGCCATATTTAAGAAATTAAAAAAAATTTAAAGACTCTACATGAAGTACAAAATCAATATCCGTTTCAAATTCGCCGGGCCTCGAGGTTATTCAGTTCGGACGTGGAGTATCAGTTTTGAAGAAAATCGACAGCACTGTTTAGTTCCTAGTGTTGACGATCGACGGACAGACGGACGGACTGTCAGATGGCTGGGCAGGAGTCAGATGAACGGGCAGACAGACGGATGAACGGACGAATAGTTTGATGGATGGACGGGCTGATGGGCAGACTGACGGAGCGAGAAAAATAATAATTCTGAAGAACTGAACTTATTTCACGGAGAAAGTAATTCATCAGTTGCTTGCGCAGTCATAGGGAATTAAAGGTTCAATGCAATGTCGTGCAAATTGGTTCATAATTCAAAATTCATGTTGAGCACCTGCAATAAAGGTCCGGTTCTCAAACGCGGCCCTCGGAACCCGACACGTGACAATCCCAAACTAAGTGCGACACGCGTCCCACAGCCCCTCTGTACCTGCTGCGTGCTGCGGCGACGCGCTCACGGGCGACGCGCCGTCCACGACGGCGGCGCCGTCAGCCGCGGGCTGGGCGTCGGCGGCAGGCGCGGGGGCGGCGCCCGACGTCGGCGTGATGGGCTTGCCGCCCTTGATCAGCTCCACGATCTCATCCGCCTCCTTGCTCAGGTTGCCATCGGGCCGGAAAGGGTTGTCCCAGCCGCTGTCAGTGCTGCGGGCAGGAAGGGAGACGAGCGTTAGTGCAAGGTCGGCTGCAGAGCGAGCTCATGAAGGTCATGCCACATTTTGAAAAGTATAAAATAAAGATTAAACACAAAGTATTTCTAGTAGACCGAGAAAAACTAGTTTATTACGCATGCGCGATAAACGAGAGGGGAAATTTTGCCATGCTTCTAGTACACATCCGCCGCCGTCCCCTCGTGACTTTGCCACTACCATAGATCAATTTCACTAACATTTCCGAGCACGTCAACTGTCACGGGTGTTTGTTCTGTAGTGAATGATTTTTATGCTAATAAACTACTACTACTAACTTTGTACTAATATTGTACTAATTTTGTAATAGTATTGTACTAATATACTAATTTTGTATAAGTCAGTCGATTCACCAGTTCTACCACATTTACATTGAAGTATTTTAAATTTCAAAATTAGAGAATGGGCATTAATATTACCGTGTTTTACAGCGCGCGCGCGTGTGTGTGTGTGTGCGTGTGTGTGTGTGTGAATACACATATATGAGATGAAACTATACCCACGCGTAGTATTGGACCATGTACTATGCACGGGTAAACACAATGATATTGCCAAGCACTCATTAAGGAACGGAAAACTTAAACACGTGCGGAAAAAAAATCAATTAGTAGAGTATGACCTAAGGAACATAACCTGAAGCAATTCAGGACCTGAAAACTACGATTTCTATGACACAGGACGCTGTAAGTTCTTAATGCACAATAAACGCGTGACTTTTGTTGCGCGTTCGTATATTCGCCGGCAGCGAGTGGTGCAGAACATGTAAAGATTTTTTTCTTTTCGTCCCCCAACCCATTTTTTTCTTTTTTGAGCTGAGGCTTTGATTTGAAAAAAATTCAACGAAATTGTTACCTTACAAATTAGTTTTAAAATCGTACCACACACCGGAGTATTACTTCACATCATTTACACGTAAAATACATTATAAAAATCTTGTATTTCTTAAGTAGGTGAATACGTGCGAATAATACGCCATTTGTAAATACTTGTTTCAAAAACAAAGCTATATACTGAAAACCGACTACCAACGTTTCTGACAAATTGCCAAAAGGTCTTTAAGCGGATTGACGTGGGAAGGATAACTCCTGTCTTCAAAGGAACACGAAGACATTATTTTAAGGGTCTAACGCGTATAGTTTTCGAATTAAAAATGATAATAAAGCGTGTTGCAGAGACATGTGTCTGCTTTCCGCTTGAACCAGAGTCTGCGAAATTCTGAATTTTTCCTGTTAAATTGATGCATGCCTAAGGGTGATGCTCCCATCGAGCGAGATAGCATATAACACCCTAAAGGGGGTTTTAGGTTTTTGGTTTCTTACAATAGTAGTGATTCAAAATAGTGATCTTAATTCAGTATTTATTCGAGACATTCTACCGAACTGTATTTGCTCAGAACCTAGCTTTTCATACTTTACCGTTACCATCTATCCATTTCGTCTACGAATCGGTGTCTTTTATAATTTAATTCATTGAATATACGCGCCCAGGTTAAATACAGCGCTAGTAGGTCAATCGACGATAAATATCCACTAGGGTACCGGCATTGATCGTGTAGCATTGTCTCAGCCAGTTACAAGGGAATTATAATTTGCACAAAGTGTTTCTTGGAACACAGATGTGCCCTTGGAAGATTTCTTACATAACCACGTGCATTCATAGTAATGAAATGAAAAACGTTCCTTCACGTGGCGTGGCAGTATGTCGTCTTTAGCCGTGTCATACATTCTCAAGCCTTTTGTATTCTATGTGTTGGTAACGTCAGTCCATTTCAATCGTTCTACACACCGACATTTCGGCGTCCCGAAGCTGTGCCTGGGGACAACCGGGAAGGTCCCGTTCAAAACGGAACGTATGCTTAGAGATCACTATAGAGCGACTTTCTATTTTTTTGCGTATTTTTGTCTCTTGCTTCAGGGCATAGCTAAATAAAATTTCTTGACGTTTAGTTAGAATTGGATGCTATGCAGATTTATGTGTGAGCGCATATTTTTGCACATTTGGCCGAATTTCCCTGCTGGTACATCATCGTTTAATAATACGAGAATATTTTGCATATTTTGTTTTTTAGGGAGACATATCTACAACGTTTTATATGTTCATAGAATCTATTTATTTGTGATTGTTGATTGATTAGAAAGAGCTAGTCACTGTTTTATTTTATTATCTAAGCATGATAAAACATTTATGCAAAATGCAGGATATTTCTTGATATTAAATTATTTAAATCAGGCAAAATAAATTCAACAAGACCTATGATATACTTCGCTAAGGTGAATATTTATTTCATTTTTTCTTCTGAAAAGTTAGACAATTGACATGATGAAGGACCGGTGGTCATAAAAGCGCATTGCCTTGCTTTGTAAGAAAGATGATTTCAGTAAATTGGTATATTGCGAACTCACATCTGAAATGTTCCGTTTGACATATATAAAATAAAATAATATAAAATGAAAGAAAATATGTAGTAATAGGTGAATATGTAAAAATATGTAATTTTATCAAAATATTTAAAAGTATGTAAAATAAAAATAGTTCTATTTCATTTATAATTACCTGTAAAACCTAAAAAAATAATCGAATGCAGCTATATTGTTTCTGAAAATACATGTTTTTACATGAAAATCCGTCCCCTAGTGATCACACTAGTTATCCTCCACATCCCACAGTAACTCGCTGATTTTAGAAGGAAGCTGAACTGTCAAATATCTTTGATCCGTCTATCCTTTCTTAGTCCTCAACGGATAGAAAAACCACTCCTTAAAACGTACGACCAAAAAACAACTCATTCGAATTACCGAGAAACATGAGTAATATTAGTATTTTAATATCCCGTCTTTTACATTTCCACGGACGTGTTATGGTTATGACGATGATAAATTATCATGCGCGCGGATGTGAAGTGCAATGAACAAACTTCGAGCTATCGTGTTCGGAATTTTCAAGATTGTATAACTCCTCTCGGAACACACTGGCAGTCCATGTCTCAGACCCGTCCATTCTCGTCTTCGAATGTCAGGAGTGAACATTTAGTAACCATTGGTTGGGCAACGTCCGTACGCATCGGTTGCCAGCTCCTCAAGCGCGCTGCTCCGATTAAGTTCATACAGTGCCGACTAAGAATCAGATAATTGTGCGGATAAATTTTGATTTTGCAGAGTCAGTTATGACGGTCGAGGGGAACTGGACTATCTCATCAGCCTCCCCCCCCTACGAATAAGTATTTTTTCTCTCCAGTTTTTGTTAACATGGCCACATAATATACATTTTTTACTGCTCCTCCACCAACACATTTCGCTTTTACTGGTTTCGATGTTCAATGAAATTCGCAAATAATAATCCATCACGGGCGCGCCGCGAATCCCCGGTCCAACGAGCGCCGAGCGCTGAAATGCAGCCCGTCCCTCCCCGCAGCCAGTGGCCGGCCGAGCGCAGACCCGCGCGGACGACGCGCCTCCGTCAACGCTCCGTCACCGATGCTTCGCTGCCCATCGCACGTCATAAGCCAGGGAGGCGGCTGCACAGAGAAGGCCGTAAGCCAGCACCGCGAACTCCTAACAATTACTTGAAAAAGTTCAATAATTATAACTAGCGTCCGGACATGTGGAAAAAGGCCTTTTTTTATTATCGTTACGATTTTAAGCCTCAACAATGAAACCTTATCTGCACTTCTGAACATGCTTTAGAAGATTTTCATTTCGTACTTCTGTCTATTAGCTTCTGATGCTCATTTTTGATTATTTTGCTTATTCAACCCCTTTTCTTTCATTTCGTCATTTTTCTTCCCCCCTCATTTTCCTTCGATCAATTTGGGAATATAACTACAAGCCTGGACAATACGAAGGTATTGTCGCGTTTTGCCTCTCTGCCAGCAAAGGCTTCAAAGCTCGGAAGAGAGAGAAAAATATTTTTTTGAATTTCTAAGATGTCCAAGACTGTTCACCACGAGAAATACTTTTGAGCATGGGCTCCGATCCCTTTCGAGAATGCAGCTCTCTGAACATGATGTAGCAGGGTTGTCCAACTGGTGGCCCGCAGTACCATTTATTGTGGCCTGCGAGAGATTATTACTCAAAAGGGAGGGCCGTGCAACCATGTCGGGTGAGAACTTTGTGCGTCCTGCCGGGACCGCCGCCGCCACCGTCGCCGCCACCACCGCCACAATCACCTCATCGACGCTGACGCCTCATTCAACTCTTCTCCTGTCACCTATCGCCGCCTGGCAGCAGACTCCGCTTCGCCGCCTATCCAGCTCTCTTCCTCCGCATTATTTCTCAAAAGGGAGGGCCGTGCAACCATGTCGGGCGAGAACATTGTGCGCCTTGCGCACGAGCCCTGCCGGGGTCAACACTCCCTTTAATGTAAAAATAGGTGGTTTAGATTTAAGGAGTTTTTTTTTCAGTGAACTCAGAAATTCCAAATCATCACAATTCGTTTCACTTATGCGTGTTCGGCCTGATATCACGCACGGCTCCGTTCCTCCCTCTCGCCCACTTCACAGCAGCCGGACAAAGGTGCGCGATCAACATTACTTTTTGATTGTATCAGATAATTAGAACCGTTTAAGTTAATTAAACTTATTTTTACATTAATATGCAGTTAGTGATTGTTAGCAAAGAGCACTAACACACTAAACGAAAGTTATGACAGCTTGAAACTTCAAAGCATTCATAACAATTTTGCTAAATATTTCAGTGTTCATCACTATAAAAAGTTGTGCAATTCTTTGAAAATAATTTTAGAAATTCTCTCTCATACAATGCAAAGTTACCCCATACCCGAACATGTTTTTCGGTTACAATTTCAACACATATCGCTGTCTTAAAACTAAGTCGTTTGATTTGCAGTGAGGTTAAGTAATCTGTCTCTGCCGACGTAACTTGCTGGACGCTCGGCCATCATTAACAAATAAGCGTTTCCTCCGCCAAAAGAATCGATATTTCTTCATTGCCTGTCACGAACATATCGGACTATTAGAATACCGTTCGTTATGTGACGACTTTGACAACGACGGAGTATGCATGATCTTGGCTGTCCGGGTGACGCCGCGTCGAAGGCTGTGTTGCCGACGTTTTGACCATCTTTTCTTGGCCTTCCTCAGGGCT